TGGAAGTAGTAACTTATAAGAGGACTTAAATTTTTGTTAAACAGATATTTGTTGATTTTTGATTAAGACAAAATGGAGAAAGCCCTGACAGTGATCATGAATTTGTTCAGAATTTTTCCTAATGACCTTAGATTCAAGATTGCTTTAGGCCAAACGAAATTTTAAATTTTTCTTGGTATCTTTATGTCCAAGTCAGGTAACTTTAACTTGTACAATTTTTAGTTGTACATGATTATCTTTACCACTTATCTAATATAGTTCCAATCATCAGTATGTATTGAGCTCCAACTACAAAAAAGCACTCTACAGGACACTGTGGAGGTCAATGGTTAAGTGTAAGAGATTGCTTCTTCTTTCAATGAATTTTCTAGCATAATATTTCTCTCTAAGCTAGGATATATTAACTACCAAAGGTCTATTGAATTCTCAACCCCACATCCCAGGGGGGGAAAAGGCATGTGGGTGACAATGTAGTAGTATCTCACTGTGGTTTTAATTTGAATTTCCTTGATGACTAAAAATATCGAGCATCATTTCAGGTGCTTATTTGCTGTTTGCGTATCTTTCTTGATAGCGTATCCATTCAAAATTCTTGCTCATTAATTGCCAATTTTTTATTGGGTAGTTTATCTTATTATCATGTTGTAAGTATTCTTTATATATTCTGAATACAAGTCTTTTATCAGATATGTATTTTACAAACATTTTTCTCCCAGTTGGTGCCTTACCTGTTCATTTTCTAAACAGTGTCTTTTGAAAAGCAAATGTTTTAAATTGTGATGAAGCCCAACTTATCATTTACTTTTTAATGGTTCATGCTTTTTGTCTTATCAAAGAAATCTTTGCCTAACCCAAAATCACAATGATTTTTTTCTCCTTCATTTTCTTCTATTAGATTTATAATTTTAGTTCATATATAGGTCTATGATCCAGTTAAGGTTAATTTTCGTATATGGTACAATGTTAACAGTCAAGTTCATTATTTTGCATCTAGACATCCAATTGTTCCAGCATGATTTGTTGAAAAGACTGAGACCAATGCATTTTAATATAACAGAGCACAAGAAGTTCATTGATATGGTTTCAGATTCTATACTGTAACTAATCTTTAAGAAATTATAATTACCTGAAAAGGGTATTAAAATACCTCTCTCTTTCAAACTATTTATCTGTATAAGGCTGGATTCCTCATATATTTCAACCAAAATACCACATCACAACAGATTGAATGCAGAAGCAGATATGAGAATCCAGCTGTCTTTTATTAATCCAGACGTTAAAGAGATTTGTAAAAATGTAATACAATGCCAGTCTTAATTTTTTGCTTTAGAAATAATTATTTTTCATAAAAATACTCTATTTTTATTAGCATGTAATGTGTTTATTATGGCTATTTTATATTATTTAAATGAATTAATAAATTAATATTTAAATTTTTCTCAGTTCTAATTTCAAATATAGTCATAGATATAATGCACAAAAACAAAAGCACTTTGAGGTCTTTGATAATTTTTTTTTTAAGATTTAAAAAATATTTTTCCTTTTCTCCCCAAAGCCCCCTGGTACGTAGTTGCATATTTTTAGTTGTGGGTCCTTCTGGTTGTGGCATGTGGGATGCCACCTTAGCATTGCTTGATGAGCAGTGCCACGTCCACGCCTAGGATCCGAAGTGGCAAAATCCTGGGCAGCCAAGGCAGAGCGCATGAACTTAACCACTCAGCCATGGGGCCAGCCCCCTTGGATAATTTTTTGTGTGAGTGTGTGAAGAAGACTGGCCCTGAGCTAACATCTGTTGCCAATCTTACTCTTTTTGCTAAAGGAAGATTGTCCCTGACCTAACATCTGTGTCAATCTTCCTCTATTTTACGTGGGATGCCACCATGGCATGGCTTGACAAACAGTGCTAGGTCCATGCCCAGGATCCAAACCTGCAAACCCAAGGCTGCCAAAGCAGAGCACATGAACTTAACCACTATGCCATGGGCCAGCTGCAGGTCTTCAATAATTTTTAAGGTGCAAAGGAGTCCTGAGAACAAAATCAAACCGCCACCATCTCTTTCTTCAATTACTGAAATTATCTCTATTTTAAGTAGAGTAATATATCTAAATGCAAATCTGATCAGGTCAAACTTGTATTTAAACCCTTTCAATAGCTTACTACTCTTCTTAGCATCAAGACTAAAACCCTTTCAATGCCTCACAAATTCTATGGTGATCATGCTTCCCCAGTCTTTCCTAACTCCAATCTCCTCGGTCTCTAAAACAATTGTCTTTTTTTAGTAGAGTCCACCAAGCCCCACCTGTTCTTGGGACTTATGCACTGGCCTGAAATATTTCCCCGCTCCTCCCCTTAGCCTAGTTAATTCCTACTCATCCTTCAGATCTTAACTCAAACATTGATTAACTGATCTTCCTTATCCCCACCCTCAGGTTAGATCAGGTTCCTCTTTTACATATTCTATGGCTCCCTGCACATTTCCTTAATAGAATTTATCAGTTTGGGAGATTATACTTTTGGGATATGTGATTTAAGAGCTCTCTCGTGGGGCCAGCCTGGTGGCGCAGCAGTTAAGTGTGCACGTTCTGCTTTGGCAGCCCTGGGTTCACTGGTTCGGATCCCAGGTGTGGACATGGTACCACTTGTCAAGCCATGCTGTGGCAGGCGTCCCACATATAAAGTAGAGGAAGATGGGCACAGATGTTAGCTCAGGGCCGGTCTTCCTCAGCAAAAAGAGGAGGATTGGCAGCAGATGTTAGCTCAGGGCTAATCTTCCTTAAAAAAAAAAAAAAAAAAAAGAGCTCTCTCTCTTATTTCAAAGAATATAAATATACTAATCATATATAAAAACTATTAAATAAAAATTTGCCTATGTGTCACGTGCATCGCTCCAAGATCAGTAGTTCTCATTAGATCCTCAAAGGATCCCTGTGTAGTGAAAGAATTAATAACCTACACAAAGAGAGGTCTGGCCTTTGCCCAGGTCTACCAAGAGGTGGTATCTAGGCCCTTGGAACTTCTTACCTAACAGGTCTGTCTTTGTTTGCCTGGGAGCTTTGGCCACTGGACAAATGTGATTCTTGATGGGGGCTTTGAGCTACTTTATCAGTTTCAGTCCTGAGAGGAAATGGATACTAAAAGTATTAGTATGACCTATGGAAGGTGCTGGAGACTAAAGGTCGCCATGTGGGCAGTTTATAATTGAGCCCCAATAAAAACTCTGGACACCAAAGGCTTGGGTGAGTTTACTTAGTTGTCAATACCCTGTGTGTATTGTCACATACTGTGGCCTGGAGGCAGTAACACCATCCATGACTCCATGGGAAGAGGATGACAGGAAGTTCCACATTTGGAGCCCTCCAGACTCTGCCCTATGTAGCTATTCTTTTGGCTAATTTTAACTTGTGTCCTCTCTCTATAATAAATCGTAAGTGTAATAGCTTTCAGTGAGTTCTGTTAGTCCTTTCCAGTGAATTATCAAACCTGAGGGTAGTCATGGAGTCTCCCAGACTTGCAACTGGTGTCTGAAGTGAGGGCAGTCTTGTACGGATTACTGTCTCAGACTTTGCAGTTCCGCTAAACTCACATCAGCCCAAAAATGGTTAAAAACCAATAGGCTAGACTATGAATTCCTCACGAGCAGAAACGTTATCAATATGATATATAGTAAAACATATAAGATATTTTAAATAAATTGATACTCTCAGGATATCAATATTCTTTAACAATAATAGCAATAATATTAATGAAGATGAGGAGGACAAAAAGCACAACCATTTACTGCATGCCCTTACTACAGTCTTCATTTACCGATGAAGAATATAAGGATTAGAGTGAAATGACTTGCTCGAGATCATGCCACTAGTGACAAAGACGGTTTGTAAGTTCTGATTTAACTAATTTTAAAGCCTACAATACTTTGCTATACTGTATCTCATAAGACAAGCAAAGAAAGTATAATATTAAATTCTGAAAAGGACAAATAGAAACATCCAGCATTATCATCACTAAAACAGTATCATCAAAGACTACCAACTGTTAGCACAGTTCAGGAATGTCGAATACTTAAGTTCCCCTCTTTTAACTAAGACTTAGTCATGAGCATTCTGATGCTTACTTACAGCCTGTCTTTGAAATTCTTCTAAACAGAATATGAGCTACGTAGGTTACAAACAAATAAAAAAACTAATCTGTTGTGTATTATTACCAAATGCCAAATACCTGAGGTGGACAGATAACACTTCTGCAAAGAAAATCACCAGCTATGGTACCCTAATCTGTAAGCATTGGGCACCAAGTTCACTCTTACATTTTCCTCCACAAATTTTCCATTCTCTTCCTCTACAGTTTTCTCTCATATCCTGGAACTGTCTTATTTGGGTGTCTAAGAAAGACAGAAGGGAATGAGAATCTGTTGGTCCATGAAAGACCAGATGGACTGTCTCAAGCTCAATTCTGTACTCTAAGGTCTTAAAGGTGTTCCCACCTTGAAACTAGACCTATTAATCAAGACATAAATAAACACAGTTCTTACCAAAAAAATATACAGTAGTATAGTAACTAGGAGAAATTCTAAAATAGAGCACTTTATATTTTTAGTTATCATAAGAAAAATATAAGAAGTGTTCAGGCAATTGGTTATACTTAAGTGATTAATTACATTAACTGTCTTTATGCAGGTCCAGAGCAAACACTACATACTGAATACTATTTGTTGAGATTACTTTAAAGTCACAATCATACTTCTACTAGATATGAAAACCAACAGTCAAGTTGTAGTATGTCAATTTTGGCAAACCAATAACAATGTTGTAAAGAGTGGATCAGTCTGGATCTACATTAAAAATTAATCATTAAAGGAGTACTGAGTGTCATAAAACACAGGCAATATGAAGAAGAAAAAGTGAATATAAGTAAAGCATGGGAAAGAAGGAGGGACACATTAATGAATTAGACATACACACTAATGCCCACAAATAACCCACAGAGACAGAGAAAGTACCTGGAAAGCTGTGAGTGCGCCAGTCCCTGGGTTATACAGGCATCGCAGCGAAGGCATGCTGTCCGCCAGGCTGGAGCAGCCCAGCCACAGAGACCTGGGCATAGAGCACTGCAGAGAGAGGACAACTATGAGATGGGACAGTATGAGACAGGATGGCACAGCTTACAGGAATTTTCAAGGCTTGGCTGAATGCAATAATCCAGTTGAAACTGGCCTTTACGATAGAAACATCTTTAAGAAATATACTACTTACTCTTTCTAACCCCAAAGAGAAACTCAAAACGGATACTAGTGGCCAAAGAACAAAGGAAAAAAAAAAGTTATAGGTCCAAAACCCAAATATTTAGTAGAAATTTTTGCCCCTGTTCTTTTATGTATTAGTCTAAAGGAAATTTACTTCTTAATCCAAATTCTTTTCCTCTATACACCTCAACTCATCTCCCATAAATTCACCACAGGGTGAAATATTGTGCAGACTAAGCAGAAAAAGGAATAGTTCATGGTAGCATTTCAATATTAGGAATGATAAATTAGAAAACAAAATACCACAGGAAAGTTAAGGGTTTTTTAGAAGGCAGGGAGAAGGAAAAGTGTTATACCCCTACAGCTTTGACAGCAACTAACTCTGCACAGTTTGCATATGTTTTACGTGTCTTGTTAGTTTGCTATTCATTAACCAAAATGCATAGTTACCATAGCAGCTGCCTCTTCATCTTTCCAGATGGATTGGAGCGGGGGGACAGGGGAGGGGGGCAATTCAAACAGAAGGGAAAACAACAACAAAGAAAGAAAAGGAGACAGGGACAGAAAAAGTGAGAGAACCCAAAAAGCTCCTGGTGTTAAAACCTTCTAAACAAAAAAGTATGTGTGAGTGTAAATATACATACATAGTGCATTCAGTAGCAAATAAGGGTAGAAATTATTATTTCTAGTAATACTAATTAAATAATATTAGTGTTATTGCTCCTATGGCTTTATAAAACATTATACCTTTTAGAAGAATTTTTACATTCTTCAAGTTTCTCTAAAAGTATCCCAGGCTGAAGTTTTGTCCATCAACTTGGGTGCTATTACAGCCTAATAATACTAAAAAACTAAATACCTGATTGTAGCACAAATAAAAACAGGAATACACATTTTAAAATAGCAGTGAATGCACATAATACTAAATTTTAAATTACAAGTTTTGAAATATTTAATATCATCGTGGGGCTTTTTTTCCTTTGTAAATCACTCTAGTTATAGGAATTAATAATAGGAAACAAAATATGATATTCATTGTTCACACTATCTATAACTGACATAAGGATAGTATACTGCAAAGGACTCCAATCTGGTCTAGACCTCTGCTTTCAGATCATTATTTCTTTATTTTTTAGTTAAGGTGACTGATGTCCAGGAGAAAATAAGTTTTCATCCATGATCAAGAATTTAGAAAGTACAGAAGGAGGAACTAGAATGCTGATCTATTGTTTCTTAGTGCCAAATTCTTCCTCCTGCCTCCACCCATCCCTTGTCATAAAGTGGAGACATGAGACTTCAAAGAAGGGTATCTGCTAAAGGCATCACTGGATAACACACCAACCAAAACAGCTAAACCACTTTGAACCACTACAACAATCTCCTGTTTTCACTGTTTCCAATGTTTCTTCATCTCAAACTACAATCCATTTTACAAACAGCAGCTAAATAGAATAATTACCTTCACTTTATCATGTCACTCTTGTCAGTAATTCATAATGGCTCCCTGTATCTATTGTATGAAATCCAAGCACCTTATTTTCAATCTGACCCTTCCCCACTGCCTACATTAACTCACCTTCTCTGTCCTTCCAATTGGCTGGCACTCTAGCTAATGAACTACCTTGACATTTTGTTCAAATACTCATTTTACTCCCATAGCTTTAAACTCGTAATTTCTTTCTCCCTTTCACCCTGCCAATGTACATCCACCATCTACCTCTCTAGCTCCTTAACACTATTTATACTAATTTCTTTCTCACCCAATAGTTCTCAGTGGCAGAGATTCTCATGTTGTGAGAAGGCAGTAGGAAGAAAAGAATAAGGGAGAGCAGGATAAAAAAAGGTTCTTTCCCCTTAAGAATCACTGTTCTACTCTTATTACTGCTCTACACTGGAAGAATCAAGTTCTTCATTAAAATAATTTCTGTAAGTAAACGATATTAAAAATTTCTAAGTCTAATGTTTTAGTCATTTATTCAACAAGTATTTATTGAGCATCTTCCTTGTACTAGGCACTGTTCTAGGCACTAAGGATAGAACAATGAACAAAAGAGACAAAAATCCTTTACCTTCTAGTGACACTCACTCAACCTTAAATTCTTTTACATTAAAAATCCTTAATGTAAAAGAAAGGGGCCATTCACATGGCCAAGTGGTTAAGTTCGCACTTCATTTCAGTGGCCTGGGGTTTCGCCGGTTTGGATCCTGGGCACAGACATGGCACCGCTCATCAGGCCATGCTGAGGCGGCATCCCATGTGCCACAACTAGAAGGACCCACGACTAGAATATACAACTATGTACTGGGGGGATGAGGGGATGAGCAGGGAAGAAGATTGGCAACAGTTGTTAGCTCAGGTACCAATCTTTAAAAGAAAAAATCCTTAATGTAAAAAACTCATTGTTAGTGAGTTTCTCTCGTTGTTAATGAGAGACTATGTACATTATTAAGCAGTTGGTTAAAGTTCTGTATATGTTGGGTAGAAGAGAGCTTCATTTTGAAGAAGGACTAAATTTAAGAAAAGTGGGAGGGGAGAAGAAGTGAGAGTAAATAAAAAGGGAGCATGAAAATACAGAAGAGGAAAAAGGAAATAGTGGAAAAAATGGAGTAGGCACTGAAAGATAGCTTGTCACATCTCCCCATTCCCTTCAGAATAGGTAGATGGCTCATACACTTTTAGCCATTTTGAAGCCACCAGCATGATTTCCTCTTTTTTTAAATTAAAATACGCACATTTATTTGTATTTATGACTGCTCCTTGCTGAGTTTTTAAGGCATGACTCTTTTGAATATTTTGTCTGCTTCATTTTATACTATATCTTGTGTTATTTTTGCAGTATGTACTTAATTATTATCTGATTTTCCTTACTGTTACTCATTCTAAGGCTCTTCCTCATTCATTCATCCCTCCATCAAAACTCCTAACAACTAAGAATTTGAAAGGGCTTACCCTATCTCCTTAAACTAAAGTTACAAAAGATAATTATAATCAATAACGAGCCACATACACCCAGGAAAGCCACTACATATAGTGGTGTGATTTCTAAAATAGCATTAACTTGCAAACACCACACAGAGGATGCATTTCCGATTATTACAAGACAATTGGTGTGGGTATGAAAACTGTGCTTGAATATAGTCAGAACTGCACATTACCATAAGATTTTATATGTTATAGCTCAATTTAAAAACTATTTTCAAATTGGTTTGTATTGTGACAATTAATCTTATCCATACTGGTAAATGTCACTTCAAAACACCAAGGAAAAAATATAATTACAAAATTAATGGAATAGGCTATAACTTCTACGTTATCTCTTTCCCTTCTATCTTCACATTTAGGAGCATTTTCTAAATGAAGGGGAATATCAAAGGAAATTTGGACAATAAGTAACAGAGTGGAAAGGAGTGCCATTTTGGTTACTATTCCTATGTATTCTACATATTTCAGGGCCATCCTGATTTGTCAATTTCTGACAAAGATGTAAGATCTTTTCTGTCCTTCAATATTTAATAAATAATCCCCTTTAAATTTTACCTTTAAAATACCTAAAATGCACAAAGTTTTCTACTTAAAGATTGGGCTGAAAAAGTTTGTTTCTCCTTACAAATCACATTTAAATTCCTAAGATTTTTTACCCATACTTACACAAATTTTTTTAATTAAAAAAAAAGCAGATTCTAGGGGCTGAGTGGTTAAGTTTGCATGCCCCGCTTCAGCAGCCCAGGGTTTCGCTGGTTCAGATCCCAGGCGTGGACATGGCACCCCTCATCAGGCCATGCTGAGGCGGTGTCCCACATAACACAACCAGAGGTACTCAGAAGTAGAATATACAACTATGTATTAGGGGGTTTTGGGGAGGAGAAGAAGAAGAAGAAGGAAAAAAAAAGGATTGGCAATAGATGTTAGCTCTGGTGCCAATCTAAAAAAAAACTGATTAAAAAAAAAGCAAGTTCTAAACTAAGCTGCAATCCAGCAGCTACATTCTCACGAATAAATATTTAACTTTTATTAACTGTTAAAGGACTTGTGAATGACCTATCCCTTAAATGTTTCTCCAATGCAATCTCAGAAGCTACAACAAAGTTCAGATCATACACATGCCTCCATCCTATACAAATCCAGCCCTACACAGAACATAATTGTTTCTTCAGCTCATTTCCCACTTTACCTCACCCCAACTAACTCTCCTTTGCAAAATCAAAGAAAGTTGAAGACCACAGTAATTTATTAAAACTGAAGTTTGTTATCCAATTGAGTTTACCAGCTTTTAAAAAGCATATACAGTATTTTAAAAAAATACCTGAACATGTTTTCTACTACTTGAAAGAATCAGAAAAAGAGACTGAAATGTTGCAACAAAGGGCCACTGGGAGAATAGAGTATCTAGTGCTCATTAGGTTCAACGGTACAAATTCATTTTCGCAGAGAACACTGAAAACACTGACTCCTCCCCCAACTTGGCTGCCCAGAGAAAAGTCACAGTTCCTCTTCACTGATAGAGGGCCCTGCAGGCAAAGGGCTGGCCTCAGCATTTACTATATAAAAGCCGAATGACAAAATCTCCTAAACTCTAGTCCCTGTTGGTCAACTTCTAGGAGTAATAGAAGCTATAATAATCAACAATAAAAAGATTGCTGCACTGAGAGTTTATGTATCCTTAAGTCATGGAATAGAAGAATTCCCTTTTTACTACTGTATCAACTAAAAATTTCAGGCCCAGAGAACTACAATATTCCATAGGCCATGTAATATATTGGCTCTACCTATACAAATTCAGTGACTGCCTCTTAAGAATCTCAATTTAGTTCACTCACTTTAAAAATGAAACTCCCACCTGTCACATAGGGTAATCATATCTACT